AAAGCTAATCAGAGTCGGGCACCACAACTGAGACCCATTCAAGGGAACATGATCTTAGAGGCTGGAGTCGAACAAGGCAGAGGAATAAGCCACGAAGGCAGGAGTCCTGGAGAGGAGCAGACTTGGTGAGGAGCAGCCAATGACGTCAATGAGGTCTTGAGGACAGGAGGACAGAGCTAAGATGAAAGGTGGACACTATGGGGAGGCAAAATTCTGCTCAGTTGAACCAAAAGATAACTGGATACCAGGGAAGGCAGTGAAGCTGTATGAGCATGTGACAGAAATGTTGAGTTGGGGATGGGATAACTTACCGGGTATACAGTCCTCTGGAGACCTGAGATGCCAGTAAACAGTTAAGCTCCTTCTGGTGCGTGCTCAGCCGTGCCAGAGGGAGAAGATCCATGACTTAAGGAGCGACATGACCCCAAAATTTTGGAATCCACAACTTGGAAACTTTAACTGCTTTAGTTCACAGGTGGGCTCTTGTTCAGAACCTGATGTTGCACGCCCTCTGCTGGTCATCTCTAACACTCACCCCCCCTAGGCAAGAAATAACCTTTTGTAGCTTTACAGTACTAGCCAGGGTAGGTTCAGAACATGCAGGGAGACTCCAGTGAGTCCCAGGGAGTTAGTCCCCTGCTTAGTGCTGCTAGTGTATAGGGTCAGAAATGATCATGAGAATGAGTTCAAGTATCTGGTGTCAAAACTGGGGCTCAGCCATGTCTAGGAGGAAGGTTTAGGCTGAGGCTGAATTGAGGGAACTATCTTATCCAGGACTATAACAAGATTCAGTGTCTTAGGCTCAGGCCATAGTTGGGACTCAGTATGGGACCAAATGCTGGGCTCGGATGTCAGTGTGAAGCGTGTAACAGGTGAGATGTTAAACGTCTGGCCACAGGAAGGAGTCATTCCACATGCAGGGAAACGGATCAACGTCACGCTCCTACGCCCAGGTGAAAGCATCAGCTAATGAACAGCAAAAGGACACCCAAGCAGGGACACTTCCCAGGGGAGAGGTATGCGGGATGGGGGACAAAATGAAGTAGTCGCTAATTTCTAAGGACCTCTTAACTTTAAAGATGGTGATGGGCAGGCTGAGGAGCCCTCTTTTTCCTCAGAAGGTGGATTCCAGTATTCTAGTTCCAGCTTCCTCTTAAAGCCCTCCCCCCACTCGCCACGCACACACGCTAGTACTCCCACATACAAATCGTAGGCAAAATCTGGGGAGAGGAGAGGCCCAAGGGCCAGTTCTGTCGCCGCAGAGAGCTAGCAGCTGTGGGGGTAGTCTTCCTTCACCCCAGGATTCTCTGTTTCTACTGGCAACAGGGCCTGGCAGCCTCCCACACCCAGATCTTAGCAACCGTGGGAGCCCCTGGCAACTGCTGCCATGGTGACAAGACAGGGCACTGAGAACAGGCTGGGGGGGGCACTTCCTATGGAGCCTTCAGGATGTGTGCAGGATCGGGGGCTCCCCTCCCCTACACAGTCTGGGAGGGAACATGCGCTCCTGTCTAAACACCTCCTCACTGGCACCCACCTCCGCCCCTGCCCACGGGTTCCGGTTCCCTCAGGGTGAGGAAATGAGGGACACCCAGGGTTATGACGTCTCCATGGGGAGGGAGGGTGAGTGGGGGTGTTTAGCACTGACATGATCATACATGTGTGCAGACACTGGTAGACATGGTGTCAACGTGTCAACAGCCACATACTTCATCCACTCTATCATGTAGACACATACCTACACAGTCATTTAATCACACGTGTACACTGACACAAAATGACATGCCTATAGCAAAGAACAGAATCAGGCACACATCCACATGAAAATAATTACACAGATACACTCTCACAGATCACATTACCAATACAACAGTACAAATAACTCCCAATCAGACTCACACGTTTCTAGATGCACTTGCACACCCAGACATGTGTGAACACACAGAGCAGCGGTTAACTTGGTGGAGCATTAACTACCTGCCAAGCTCAGAACCAAGTGTGTTACATGTGCTACCTTAGTTAACCCTCACAACAACCCTGTAAGTACTGCTGTTGCCTATCCCCATTTACAAAGAAGGAAATAAGCCCAGATGTGGCAGTAACCTCACGAGGTCCACAGCCTGACTCCAGGGCCCCACGTCCTCACACTCTGTGCTTCCCTGCGCACCCCAGCTCCCCGCACGTACCCCTGACGCCCAGGGCAACAGGACAGAAGGCAGGAACAGCGAACCAGGCAGACAACACAGTCCATGCCACCAACACCTGAACACGCAGCCCTACACCCTCGAAGGTCCAAGCCTACACTTTAGCATTAGCAGGGGCCAGGTGAGGGCTGGTGACTAAACTCGCTGCCTCCGTGTTGGCACAGGCACGGCTGGAGGAGGCAAAAGAGACAGAACTGAAATAGGAAGACGCAGAGCCACCCACAGCCCGGGCCCCACGAGTGTGGAGGTGGGGAATGAGAGCCCCCAGATCTAAGGAATCAGCACCAGTCCTGGGCCCCCTCATCCCGCCTTACGCATCTCTATGTCACGCTATTCCATTCCCTTGTCACCCCACCTCCCCTCCCTTCCTCATTCCTCCTCACTCCCTCTCTGTCCCATCCTTCTGCTGCTCACCCTATCTTCCCTCCCCTCTATTCCTCATGTCCCCCACCCCCTTCCCTCCTTATCCCCCATTTCTCACCCATCCTTACCTCCCACCCTGTCTCCCCTCCCCTCCTCTCTCCACCCTCTTCACCCCACCTCCCCTCCCTCAACCCTGTCCCACCAGACTCCCCATTCTCCCAGCCCCATACTCATCGCCCCATCCCTGCTCCCCTCCTCATCACCCTAACCCCACTCCCCCTGCATCCTCTCTCCACAATTCCCTTTCTTCCCCACAACTCATACCCTTTAAGCTTGCAGGGGCCCCACAGAGAGTACTGGAAAGAAGGCAGGTAGTGAAGAACATGCAGACCTGACCCCAGATCCCCAGACCCCCCTCCTGCTCTGGCCTGGGCCTAGGCACTCAAGCCGCAGTTTCCAGCTCTATCCACTTTGAACAGCCTCGTGGGTGTTCAAATGCTGTCTCTGGGAAACAAGCATAGAAAGAGGTAAACGAGAGCTTCTGCCCTGACCCTTCCTTTGTCATCAACCCCCCGAGAATCCCCTCCCCCCTCTTCACCCCCAGATTACCCCCTCCCCACCCCCGCTCCCTCGAGCACAGATGGGCCTGGGAGACAGTGACGTGGGCGCCAGGCACCGTGTCTGCTCAAGCGGCGGCTTCCGCTGGCGACCGCCTCCGCAGCCCCGCCTGCTCCGAGCAGCGGGGACACTGGGGCTGAGATTTAATGATTTAATGGGGGTGGGGGCTGGTGAGACAGAGATTCTGAGGGTAAGAAAGGGGATCACGGGGAGCCGAGATGAAGGATTAAAGGGAGAGCCAGGATGGGGGAGATCACAGATGTAGAGAAAGGATTAAGAATAGGACAAGACAGAAGATCACCGGGGAAAGACAGGAGGTCACAGGGGGCCAAGCAGAGGGGCAAGTAAGGGAGCTAAATACAGGAGCTCCAGCGGGGAGTAGGATGAAAGATCCCATATAGGGGGCTGAAATGGGGCTGTGGGGATTGCTGAGAAGGGGGAGCTAGGATGAGGGGATTACACCGGAGGATGGAAAGGGGACTCCAAGAGTCCTGGAGGTGCTACACCTGAGGGGAGTCACCAGGTTACCCTCACAGGAGCGATCAGAAGGACGTTTAAAGTCTGCATGTCTTTGGAGGTCTGTTTTGAGATCCAGTTAGGTCATGTCAGGTCAACTCTGGGTCAAGGTAAGGTAAAGCTAAATCAGATCAGGTCCAGAGGTCGGTTCACGGTTCGATGGAAGACGGCTGACAAGCGGTGACCTTTTGGCCCTGGTCCAGGAACTACACCTCCCAGAGTGCCCTATTCTCTCTCTCTCTCTCCCCTACCCTTCTAAAGAAAGGAAAGAATGCTCGGTGTCATGGCCAACGGGTGGGGGCAGTTTTCCTTTAAGGCAGCCTTTGACGTTGCACGGGTTCCAGAAGGTTCTCCTGGGATTCGAGTGGTGGCCAGTACGTCCCACCTTCTCAAACCGGAGATTGGACTAATATAGATGCCCCCCGGCTCCGGTCTGAGTCCCACAGACGAACCAATAAAATCAAAGGGCGCGTGAAGTTGCCGCCCTCTGTCCTTTTCACCAATGACACGATGAGATGGCGAAGAGGTGTGGTTGATTGATCCCAGAGGGCACCAATCAGACCCACACCAATCATTGCCCGGAATGTGTGCGCGTGTGGCCGGGTGACAGGGGCGGGGAATGGGCGGCTATCACCAAGCCGCTCGTTGAAAACTACCCAATCACAGCAGAGGCTGAGCTGAGTGACGGGCAGATGGCTCAATGGGCGGCGTGGAGGCGGAGCCGTGGGGGCGGGCTCCCGGTCCCGCTGTCGGCGGCCGGCGGGCGGGCGACTCCTGTCCCGAGTGGAGGCGGCGGAGCCGGAGCCGGGGGAGGGGGCAGCGGCTGTCAGACGACCGCGGCGACGCCCGCAGCTCCTCACCGGTGAGGGAGCCGAGCCAGGATTCGGGGGTCCTGGGAGTGGGGTGTCGCAAAGCCAGGGGCCCTGGTGTCTGGGGGTTGGGACACTGAGAGCCCATTAGGCTTTTCTGCCGTGAGGGTGCGGGGACTCGGGGTCTGCAAGGTGGTCGGTGTCCGCGACCCGGGCTTGCTTCTCACAGCGTCTGAGCCTGGGGAGGGGAGGGTCGGGGAGGGTCGGGTCCGACTGGGTTCCGCAGGGCGGAGGCGTTTCTGAGCAGGCCAGCCAGCCAGCACCAGTGACATCACCGACCACCCTCCCCCGCCCGAGCCCCCTCCCCTCTCCTCCCCTCCTTTCCTCGCCGCGCCTTTTGTCCGGGCCGAGCTCTGCTCTGCCCCGCCCCTCCCGCCCATCTGCGAGGGAGGAGTCCCCGTCAGTGACTTCATTGAGTAGGTTCTTGGGAATTGGGGTCGGGTCCTCCCCAGAGAGAGGCGAGAGGAGCTCACTGCCTCTCAGGCCCTCACAATCACACCTGTCACAGGTACACACGCTGCCACTCACAAGCACACGCTTGCACTGCCATACCGCCACTCACAATCAGCCAGACACTGCTGCACCTGACAGCAGGTGGCCGCTGGCTCCTCTCCCTTCACTCTCCACACCGGGGATCAGGTCCGGCTCCTGCTGCACCAGACAGGCCTTGCTGGGCAAGTGCCCCTGACATCTGAGGAGGTGGCTTCCGAGCTGCAGCATCCCAAGCAGGCTCCGGTGGAGCGATCAGAGGTGAGGGGCTTGGCTGGGCATGTTTAAGCGCACCGCGCTCTCCTGCCCACCCCCAGCAGCACCCCCACTGCAGGCCCGAGGAGCTTTCCGGAGCTTCCCACACTTCTGGGGAGAAGACTTCTTAGCCAGCTTGATGTTTAAAATTCAGCTGGAGCCCTTAAAACTTCGAGCGTGGACGCTGAATGGGTTTGTAAAGTTTCGGTAAGTCCCTCCGAGAAGGGCGCTCACACCCATACCAAAATGCTCCACATCAGCCATCCCTCCATTGCCTATTCGCTTCCTCATCTCATCCTCATGTCATCCCCATTACTGCAAGAACCCCCCTCCACCTCACCCTTACATTTGGATGAAGTGCCTCCCTCATCATTCATCTCCTGTCTCAAACTCTTCAGCATCCATTTCCCATGAACATCTCCAGTGTTTTATCTGCATCTCTCCCTTTCAACACATCAGGAACCCATTTTCCACCTCAGCCAGGTCCATTTCCACCTCTCATGTCCCCTGCATCGGGACCTCATTTTCTGTACCATCCACCTCCCCGCCGGACACGTCAACAGTCCCCCTTGCCATTTCTCCCCATTTTCCATTCCTGCCTCTTTGTTAACATTCTTCTCCATCAAAGGCAGTGCCATGCCATGGGGCTCCTTTGTCATTCCAACACGTGGCCTGCGGGTAGGGGAGGGAGGGAAGGAGGGAGGAAAGAAGAAGGAGGAAAAGGAGGCAGGTCCTGAAAGAGCCTGCCTGTGGTCTGTGGAGGCAAGAGAATTATGGTCTAGAGCAGCGGGCAGGTGGGTACAGGGAGGAAGCCAGCCGGGTGAGGAGGTAATGCCGGGACAGCAAAAGAGGGTGAGTGGGTTGCTGAGCCGTTCCACTGGCCCTCTGCCTAGAAGCTGCTATAGTTCTTCGAGGGCATCCTCCTGTTGTGCCCGGGCTCCTTCCCAGTCCCGGGGGGAAGAAGGTGTGGGCTGAGGCAGAGATGGCAGACCTCCCCAGCGCCCTCTCAGACGGCTTATGCTGCCATTTCCGAAAATGGCTGCCCTCCCCCAGGTGCTCTTTCTTCTCTGCCTCCCCCTACCCCAGTCTCCCCCACAGGCGTGACATGCTGGTGGGGGAGATGGGGGAGTACCCACCTTTATGGAGCCTTCTCTTTGTCAGAGTGAGGTGACTCCTAGAACCATGAGTCAACCCAGCCACCTACAGCAGGCCCTGTGGGGGCAGGAGTGAGGGCCATTGTCCCTGCCTACCTGGGGCCTTGGAGGCCTCCCCCTAACCCAGTTCAGCCCTCCCTCCTGCCAGGACACCCTGTACACCTGGCTGCTGTGTAGCAGTCAGAGGCAGAAAAGCAGGCCTCGGCTGTGGCTGCCAGCCCAGGACATTGCTAGAAAGACTCTGGTTCTCCCAGCTTTGGCAGGGGTTGGCCAAGTCTCAGAAGGGCTAGAGAATGGCATCTGGCCATTCCCCCAAATAGCTCTAATTACAGGAAGGTCCCCTTCCCTTCATATCCAACACAGACACATTGATGGAGGGAGATTAGAGCGGAAGAATTTGAGCCCTGTGTTTTCTCTCTCATATAACAAATGCAGCACCCAGCCTAGAAGGGACTATCAAAGGAGTATGGGGCTGGCACTGGGCCAGACCCTAAGCCACTGGGGCAGGGGAGAAAGAGGGACTTACAGGGAAGGTATTAAGGAAATGGTGGTTAGTGCCCAGTTTTCTTCTAACAGCGAGGGTCTAAAGAAGGCCTTATCCCCAGCATGCTTTTGTTCACTACCACTGGAGCTTAGGTGGCATAGACAAGTCTTCACACACAGTTTTGTGTGTAGACACTGGGAAATGAGTAAAGGGAACTGTTGCCCTGGTTGGGGGAAGGACAGTGTCACCCCCCTGCTAATGAGGGAGTTGGAAACAGCAGTTTCCAAAGGCTGTGAGTCACCTTTTGATCTGAATCACACATGAGGCTTAGCATAGTCTGGAGGGTGGAGGAAGGGGGGCCTGGGGTCTCCAATGGCAGAGAGGACTCTAGACACCCATACCCTGACTCAGCCTGGCTGGCCAGGACAGCTGGCTGAAGACCCAGGCCTGTCCCCAGTCCTGGGCCACTGCCCCAGCTGCCCTCAGCCCGGGCACCATGCCCGAGGCGTGGCGTAGGAGACCACGATGCTCAGGTGACCTCACCCAGTACACTGACCTTCGCCAGCTTCTGTGCATAGGTCTGTCAGTCCATGGTGCCACCTTACGCAGCAGGGCCTCTCAGGGGTCCTCGATCTGGCCCAAGGACCTAGGCCTCGACCTAGGCCCAAGAAGTGGGCCACAACCTTCAGCTTCCTGCTGGGAAAACCCAGGAGGTGAGGAAGGAATCACAGAATCCTAGAATGTCAGAGCTGGAAGAGATCATCTAGTCCAAACCTTTCATTTTACAGATGGGGAGACACAGGCCCACAGAACAGGCATGACCTGCTGAAGGTCACACAGTGAGTCATTTAGGGACTTCAAGACCATCAGGAGCAGGGCTGGAGCAGAAGAGAATAGGGGCATCAAGGATTGGTCCTGGGTTTCTTTCAGAAACAAGGAGACCAGTGCTGGTCCAGTGGCTGTGATGGGAAAAGATTATTACAAGATTCTTGGGATCCCGTCGGGGGCCAACGAGGATGAGATCAAGAAAGCCTATCGGAAGATGGCCTTGAAGTACCACCCAGACAAGAACAAAGAACCCAACGCTGAGGAGAAATTTAAGGAGATTGCAGAGGCATATGATGTGCTGAGTGATCCCAAGAAGCGGGGCCTGTATGACCAGTACGGAGAGGAAGGTAAGAGGGCAGCACTCTGCCCAATCTTGGACCCCTGCGCTTGGCCAGGGTCCTGGGTGAACCAGTTTTCATAGCAGGGAACTCCAGGCTGAGGAGGGGGTGTGGGAGGCAAGGGTTTCCAGCACTGACACCCAAAGGAGAGAGGAGACCACCCACTACCCAGCCTCCGCTTACCATAGTCTCCCCGCCTCTCTCCACCCCTCTGCCTCCTCTTTCAGGCCTTAGAGAGGTCCGCAGACAGAGCCAGAGGCTTCCCCTCCCTTCTTCCCTTCCCAGCCTTATTAGTCCTGCCTGAAGTCCCTGCTGCTTCATTGGCTGATGGGGAAGACTGGGGAGAGAGAGTGTGTGGCTCTCTGAGGACAGAGCATTTACATTCATCAGCATAAAAGTCTGGCCCTTAAGCAGCCTGGAATTAACCACCAGAGCTCTGAGCAGAAATGGTTGTCCCCTTCCTTCCCCATTCCCTGCCCACTTCAGGCCAACAGAACAGAGGTGGAGCTTCATGTCCTAGAGGAAGTGGCAGGGATCCAAGGGTGGAAAGGGAACTGCTGCTGGCATCTTACCCCCTCCCTCGGGTAGCTGGTGGCCACAGGGCGGGAGGCAGGAAAGGCCCAAATAAAGCCTCTGAGAGGGTGGCCCCTCCCAGCACATCCCACGAGCATGATGTAGCTGCTAATTCTGGGCCTGCCCCTCAGGGCTGCCTGCCACCCGCCAGCCACAGGCACCTGTCAGGCTATATTAAGAGACACTGTCACAGCTGAGAACTCTCCTTCCTGGGAGGAACTGCCCTTCCTCCCCAACGGCATCCACCTTTCTTTCACATTCTCCTCCTCCCCACCCTCTCATCAAAACTAAATGGGCTAATGATATGTACATACCCGATACAAAGCAGATGCTCAAAAGCATGTTCTTTCCCTCCTTGCTTTCTGTACCCTAGTCCTCCCAACCCCTTTTTCATTCTCCACGCTGCTAGTTCCTTCCATTTGTTTCCTGCTAACCTCCTAGAGTTGCCAACTCCCAGATTCACCAGGTACCTGCTGGAATCCCCAGTATTCTCCCAGCTAAGAAATTTTTCTCTGGGGTGGAGGGATGGGAGTGGTAGGGGTGTGGAGAGGGAAGCAGTGCAGACACTATGCCACCATGTGACCTGTCTCAGAATTGCACTCATGCCTCCATTCAGCCTCACCCTTGTTTGAGAGGAAGGCAGGAGCTGGGAGAGGTACCCCGAGACACTTCACTCTTCATGCATGACCAGGCCTAAGTGAAGGGGGCAACACCCAGTCCCTAGGCCCAGACTCTGGGTTCTGATGCAGATCCCCATCCCAGGAGGGCCCCTGAGGATGCAGCGTGGCCTTAAGGGGACCTCCAGGGCCTGGGAAGGGAGAAACAGCTTGGAAATGTTGGTTATATTCTGTCTACCCTGCCCCTTCCCCAATAGCCAACCGGAACAGTTGTGCACACACACTCTGTGTGCAGCTCCGGCTGGGGACAAGATATTCTCAGCTTGAATAGGGGGTGGTACAGGTAGGGCAGGAATCCCTACAGAGAGAATTGCCCCTTCCCATCGCCACTAGCCCAGCCTCCCTGCCCCCTCACTGAGTTCTGCCAAGCTTCTTGAACTTGCTTGGTGGCCCCTCAACAGAAGGAAAGAAGAGACCCCAAGCATTGGGGGAGGGTTGAAGCAGCAGCCGCCACGAGCCCCTGAACTGCTTGCCACTTGGCCTCTCTAATGAAACCCAAATCTGCCCTTGTGGTTACAGGAAATAAGAGACTAATTTAGGCTCAGGCTTCCATGACCAGTTGAAATTCTAGATAAAAGTTCTCAAAGAAAAGGGTCTCTTCCGCTAGCCTGGGTCCCAATGCTAAGTCTATGTATTCTAGAGCAGTTCTCAGTGTTAATCCTCTCTCCACACCGCCCCCCCCCACTACCTCCATCAACCTCTCCTCACCATGAAGGCTGCCTCCAGGAATCTGAGCCCCCTAGACAGGACCTGACAGAGACAGCATCTGGGGGCACCACCTGCAACGTGCCAGCCCATTCATGCATTTTGGTTGCTCAGTACTAGATGTGGGGTGTAGGGCTTGCTGTTGTATAACTGCAGGGAGCTCCATTCTCATTGTAGTCTATGTCTGTACGATGTGTGAATGATACTCCCTGGAGTTGTGTAACACTGAGCAGAGTGTGGGAACAAAGTATTGGAAAACTTTTTCGAGAAAAATAGCTCTTCATTTCCAAGTTAACGAGATGAAGAGCTTCCTGCTATTTTGAGGCCTAAGGCCTCCTGGTTTCCCATTTGAGCAAGAGTCAAAGAGGAAGAGGGAAAGAGGAAGCATGGCTAGAAGCAGAGTGAAAGTGGGCTTCCTCCCAGACTGTTTCCCTACCGCATTTGGGGCCAGTCACTTCCTTGCCCCCTGTGTGGTCAAATCCTGTCTGATTGCTTCTTACCCTGTATGTCTTTGGAGATAAACAAACATTTGAGAGCCAGGTATGACTTGTAATGTGATACCAGGTTAGTCACCCAAGGCTTTGCGAGACATCTTTAGGCCATGAATACATGGAAAAGGTTATAGGACTGGAAGTCACATCCTTTAAGTCCTCTTCTGGTTTTTCCACCTGTTGGGTAACCCAGCCTCTTTGAACCTCAAGATACGCATTATTATTAAATATATAAATAAGAGTAGAAACTAATCTTGCCAGAAGCTTTCCTCACTCTATTAGCCTGGCCCTCTCCGCAGAAGTTAAAGTTCGCTTCTTTCTCCAGGCCCATGAACTGGGAGCTAAAGGGCAGGGGGAGGAGACTGGGGCGGGGCAGAATGAGCCACATTGCCCCTAACTTCTCCTCCCCTCCAGGCCTGAAGACCGGCGGTGGGACGTCAGGTGGTTCCAGTGGCTCCTTTCACTACACCTTCCATGGGGACCCCCATGCTACATTCGCCTCCTTCTTTGGTGGCTCCAACCCCTTCGATATCTTCTTTGCCAGCAGCCGTTCCACTCGGCCCTTCAGTGGCTTTGACCCAGATGACATGGATGTGGATGAAGATGAGGACCCATTTGGCGCCTTTGGCCGCTTTGGCTTCAATGGGCTGAGTAGGGGGCCCAGGAGAGCCCCAGAACCACTGTACCCTCGGCGCAAGGTACAGGACCCCCCTGTGGTGCACGAGCTGCGGGTGTCCCTGGAGGAGATCTACCACGGCTCCACCAAGCGCATGAAGATCACGAGGCGGCGTCTCAACCCTGATGGGCGAACTGTACGCACAGAGGACAAGATCCTGCACATTGTTATCAAGCGTGGCTGGAAGGAAGGCACCAAGATCACCTTCCCCAAAGAGGGCGATGCCACACCTGACAACATCCCTGCTGATATCGTCTTTGTGCTCAAAGACAAGCCGCATGCACACTTCCGCCGAGATGGCACCAATGTGCTCTACAGTGCCCTGATCAGCCTCAAGGAGGTGGGGCCTGCTTAGGTTGTGTGTGTGTTGGGGGGATGCCAGGGGACACTTCCCTCCTTCTCACCAGCTGGCACATTGTTTCCCACTTCAATCTATTTCCTCCCTTCTCACTCACCCTACCCCACCTTTTCCTCACTCTCTGCCTCATTCTCCCCAGGCGCTGTGTGGCTGCACCGTGAACATTCCCACCATTGACGGCCGAGTGATCCCTTTGCCCTGCAATGACGTCATCAAGCCAGGCACCGTGAAGAGACTCCGTGGGGAGGGCCTTCCCTTCCCCAAGGTGCCCACTCAGCGGGGAGACCTCATTGTCGAGTTCAAAGTTCGTTTCCCAGACAGATTAACACCACAAACACGACAAATCCTTAAGCAACACCTACCCTGTTCCTAGGCTCTGCCCCAGCCAGTCCAGAGTCTACCACAGCAATACCCCCCACACTCACCCCACCCAATGTGCACCCAGCTTGATGTGCACTGGACACTGGCAACTTTTTCTAAAATGCAAAAAAAAAAAAAAAAAAGCCACTGGTTTTCAGGAAAATATTCCTGTCCCTGACCCCTTTCAGAGCTGGGCTGCCTGGGGGGAGTGGGAGGGAGGTGGGAAGAGCTAGCCCAGGCCAGGGGTCAATTTTCATGTCACTAGCTTTGAATCCAGTTCCCACCCGGTGGCTAGAGGGTGACCTGAGTGCTACTTGAAGATATAGAGTTCCTTGTCCATGCCTGTAAATAGCATGTCCTCCTTTCCCTGTCAGCTTTGCTAATATCTTTCCTCTCCCATCCCTTTGGCTTCTTCCTGTTGGGGGAGGAAGAGGATAGAAAGGACATTGCTTTCCCACCCCCACCCCAGGTCCACAGTGTCCAAGGTTATTGCACACATATTCACACACACACAAAGCACTCACCTAGAGCTGCCTATGCCTCTCTGGGAGAGAGGAGAGGAGATGGGAAGGGAAGATCTACAACCTGTAGAACAGGGACATTGAGCACGAGACACTTTTCATCTGAGGCAGAGCAGTGAACCAACGCTCAGCAGCCTCCCTGACAGCTGCCTTGTGTACAGCCTGCAGAGCTGGAGGCTCTGTCCTCCCTCTCAGCAGTGTTCAGGGTAGTGGGAGGGGAAGGGGGACCTGAGGTATTAAGGCTAAGAGGTGGGGGGGGCAGGACCCATCTCCCAGCCTTCATCAGGAAGGGAAGGAGCTTTGGGGTCAGGTGGCAGCTATTCTCCACCAAGAGACTCAGGGTCACAGGTTTCTCCCCACACCTCTGAACTCAGGGTCTAGCCACCTGCAAACTTCCAAATCCTACTTTTGTGATATGTGAAGCTACTTATTTCTTACCCTTCTTGAGGCTGCTTGGGAAATTTCCAGCCCTTTTATGCCTGTGTGCCCCCATCCCACTCCCACAGTTGTACAAAGGTCAAATAGTGAAGGAGCTGGGGGAAGACTGCTTCAGCCAGTCCTGGGGTGGGGGCTTTAGGTTTTCTCACTTTGACAAGCCCCTGAATGTTTTTATAGTAGTTTTTTGTATTTTTTTGTAATGACAGTATTATGTAAAAAATAAAGTATTTTAAAAATATGGCATCTGAGCAGGCGCAATGAACCTGGGATGAGGGCAGGTGAGCAGTGCCACTGTCAACCTCCTAGTCACCACTGAGAAGCCAAGCAGGCCCTCAATATAAGCTGGAGCTGACTCCTTCCTTCCTCTAAGACTCCTGGGATTTCCAAATGTATACCCAAAACACAGAAAAGACAGAAGATACCACTCAGCTATTAGAAGAAACACATCTATCTGGGAAGGAAAAATATCCATGATTATGAGAAACAGAGATCATCTTCAGAAGAAATGCTAGCATGAAAACTAACAGATTTTCTTGTCTAAATTTTCTCTTTGAGTTAGAGGAGTTTTCCTTCTAGGAGGGGATGGAGGAGAACTTCCTGGCTGACCAGAAGAGACTCCCCACAGACAGAGCCTGGGCAGTGGAGAGGGCAGCTAGAGGTACCTGGCATCCTTGGCCCATGCTGGCAGGGCCTGGCTAGGGACACAGGCTCCCTGGGAGGCACTGAATACAGTTGCCAATCCTTGGATCTCACGGTTTTCTTGGGATGTCTGTCCTGGTCTCTGACCTGACTGTCCCTGCTGAGACAACTCTAGCCCTCAAGGCCCGAGTGATGGCTACTTGTCTCTTTCCTTGGATCTGGGTAGGAAGGAGCCTGTAGTTGCAGAAATGCCCATCTGCAGGCTCTGCCTGGGCCTGGACTTCCTCCTGGGGTTGACTATCTTCCGAGCATGGAGTCCATGTCTTCTCCAGGATCAGGCCTGTGACAGTCATGCCCTGCTGAGCGTCAGTGTCCCCAGTGCCATGAAGACAGCACTGTCCTCAGCTGGGCCTGGGCTCCACACAGAAGCTGACACTAACTTTACTAGGCTTTTACAGCAACATTCCTGCCCTTGCCTTTTTTCTGGGGACAAAGACACTGAAAAAAAGTTCCTCACCCTTTATCAGGCTATGCCTCAGACCCTTCCCTAGGTAATTCCCAAGCTGGAACTTTGTTGAGCCCTTCACATGGAAGCTTCTTCAGTGCCCAATCAATTCTTCCCTTGATCCTTGCTGCTTTGGCCCGTAAATACATAGAGGGCTGAAAGAATCTAAGATTGTTCCTTAGCTGAGATGTGTCTCTTAGTTGCCCTGAGGCTGCATCAGTGCCAGAGACTCTTGGATCCTGCAGGTCAGGACCCACCAGTGTTAAATAAGGCTCTTTCAAAGGTGATGCTCTGGCCGGGTGCAGTGGCTCACGCCTGTAAACCTAGCACTTTGGGAGGACAAGGCAGGAAGATCGCTTGAGGCAGGAAGTCAAGACCAGCCTGAGTGACATAGCAAGACCTCGTCTGTACAAAAAATATAAAAATTAGTCAGGCATGGTTGTGCACACATATAGCCCCAGCTACTTGGGAGGCTGAGAAAGGAGGACTGCTTGAAGCCAGGAATTTGAGGTTGCAGTGAGCTATCATGATGCCACTGTATTCTAGCCCAGGCAAGAGAGCTAGAACCTGTCTCAGAAAAAAAAAAAGGTGGTGGTGCTCTAGTTGTTTCCAAATAATAATATCGCTTATTGGAAATTATCTAAGAAGATGGAAAACCAGACATAGGCCTGGAAGGACAAAAGACTAAATGTTTCTTAAGATCTTTGGATCACAGAGAGTAAAACCTAAACATTATCAATTTCCTTCTACAACAGACATTGAATTTCACTTGGGGTAAGAGACTGTATCTCATCTGGGCCCTAAAACAATATTCCAGAAGCCTTAATCTGAGGTGGAGAAGGTAATAGGAGTGGGAATGAGGATTGAAGGTGGGCTAGGTAGGTGCAGGGAATGAAACAGAGTTTGGAGCTGGGAAGCAGTAGGGAACCTTTAGCTTGTATTCAAACTGGGGGTGTGGAGGGTAGGCATTAGGGATTCCACTGTATAAAATAAAAGGAGACTCCATTGCAAACAATCACCAGCAACTAGGTCAGTAGTCACTAGGAACTCACTGGGCAAAGAGGGGAGACCCTAGAAGAGCTGGCTCTATTTCTGCTGCAAATCATCCCCCTGGGTTTTTTAATTTGGAAGCACTGAGGACTGTGCAGCTGCTCTGGTTTGTCTCTGGTGTTCCACAGTGGTTGGGAGTCTATGTTATCTCACATGGCAGCAAATGATTCTAAAATAGTTCCAGAAGAATAGATAGATGGATAGATAGATATCCCTTCAGCACAGACTGGAAGAGTAATCGGGTCCAATTATTTAATGAAATCTCTGTCTAGCCATTGGCTGGCCACTAAGCTAAGCAAGCAGATACTTCAGTGGCCACACACAACAAGAATGCAAAATTTACAGTGTTAGTTCAGTAAAGTCACTATGCAAACAAACAACAACAACAAATAGCAACAACAACAAACCCTGGAGAGGGGAGAAACTGATTTCCAGAGATGCCATATTATATTATTTTAAAATGTACAGTTTTCAACAAAAACTATGAGACATGCAAAGAAACAAGAAAGTATGGCCCATATACATACAGAGGGGGAAAAAGTAACCAACAAAAAGTGACCCTGAGGAAGCTCAGACATTGGACTTACTAGACAAAGACTATAAATCAGCCATTTAAAATATGTTCAAAGAACTGAAAAAAACTTTGTCTAAAAAACCAAAGAAAAGTGTGAAAATAATAGCTCACTAAATAGAGATTATCAATAAGGACATAGAAATTATTTTTTAAATAACCAAATAAAAGCTCTGGAGTTGAAAAGTATAATAACTGAAATGAAAAATTTGATAGGAGCTCACAAGCAGATTTGAGAAGACAGAACAAAGTGAACTTAAGATAGGTCAATTGAGATAAACCAATTTGAGAAACAGAAAGAAAAAAGAATGAAGAAAAATTAACAGAGCCTATGAGACCTATGGGACACTATCAAGGATAACAACATATAAATAACAAAAGTCCCAAAAAGAGAGGAGAGAGAGAGGGAACAGAAATATTTGAAGAAAGAATGGCTGAAAACTTCCCAAACTGGATTAATCTACACACTCAAAAAGCTCAATTAACTCTAAGTAGGATAAAGGAAAGAGATCCACAGCTAGATGCATCCTTAATAAACTGTCAAAGACTAAGGCAAAGAGAGAATCTTGAAAAAGACAAGAGAAAAATGACTATTCATGTACAAGGGATCCTCAATAAAATTAACAGCTGATTTGTCATCAGAAGCCATGGAGACCAGAAGGCAGTGGATGACATACTCAAAGTGCTGGCGGGGGGAGGGGGGCAGGGGAGTCTATACCCAGCAAAATTTCCTATCAAAAATGAATGAGAAATCAAGACGTAAAAAATCTAACAGCAAAATGGTAGACATAAATCCTACCGCATCAGTAATTACACTAAATATGAATCAATTAAACTTTACAATTAAAAGGCAACAATTAGAAAATGGACGAAAAAAATAAGTGATCCAATTATATGCTGTCTACGAGACACATTCTTGGATTCAAAGACAGAAATCAGGCTGTCTGATGGTGGCTCACACCTATAATCCTAGCACTCTGGGAGGTCAAGGTGGGAAGGATCACTTGCAGTCAGGAGTTCGAGAACAGCCTGAGCAAGAGCAAGACCCATCTCTACTAAAAATAGGAAAATTTAGCTGGGCGTGGTGGCGAGTGCCTGTAGTCCCAGCTACTCGGGAGGCTGAGGCAGGAGGATTACTTGAGCCCAGGAGTTTGAGGTGGCAGTGAGCTATGATGATGCCACTGCTCTCCAGCCTGGGCAACAGAGCAAGACTCTGTCTCGAAAAAAAAAAAAAGACAGAGAGAGAAGCTGAAGAAGTAGAAGGGGACCAGCAGGTGGAGGACTCTGTATACCATGTAGGAAATCTGGCCTCACTGAAGGATATTAAGGAGGGGAGTATCACAGTCAGTTTTGTTGTACGTGGATTGCTTTGGTAGTGGTAAGGGGAAAGGATTTAAGATGGATAGAGCTAGAAGAACAGAGATCAGCTAGGAGACTACTGCACAATTTTACAGGAGAAATGATAAGGGCCTAAACTACCAGTGACCATAAGCGTGGGAGGAGAGACAGATTTGAGAAATTGCAGATAAAATTAGCAAAAGCTGGTAACTAACTACCTAATGGAGGGATGAAGGGGAAGCAGCATGAAATGGCTACATTTCTTGCTTGGGTGACTAGGTAATACTAATTGATTTGGGCAATATGACAGGAAGAGCAGGTTGGGACAAAAGAAGATAATGCCCTATATTATGAAGATCTTAGGCCTGGAGTACTTGCAGGAAATCAAGCTTGGAGATGTTTAACAAGCAATTCGATTTATGAGATTGAAATTCATGTAAGAAGTCAATGCTGAAATAATTAACCACACAAGTGGCTAACTCACAGAAGAAAAGTGAAAAGCACAATGACCCAAGTGTGGAACTGAGAGTTAGGAAATATTCTGAAATTTAGGACAAGTTTTTTTTTTTTTAAGACAGTTTATAAGCAAGTACAGTTATGTACAGATATTAAGCAAATCTTACAGTATCAAAAAATGGGAAATCATCTAAAAGTAAAAAAATAGAATGGTTGAATTATATGTATATTCACTTCAGAAAATATCATAGTCATTAAAATGATGTCTAGGGGCTACGTGCTGTGGCACATGCCTGTAGTCACAGCTGCTCAGGAGGCTGAGGGGGGAGGATTGCTTGAGCCCAAAAGCTCAAGGCTGCAGTGAGCTATGATGACACCACTGTATTCCAGCTAGGGCAGCAGAGAAAGACCCTGCCTCAAAAAAAAGATGTCTTGGAAGAGTTTACAGTATGTAGAAAAGGTTTATGATAAAATGTTAACTGAACTTTCTACCTTAAAAAAAAAGAAAACTAGGTATTATTTAAACAATGTCAAAATATTAATAGCAAAGTCAAGAAAGAAATACATCAAATTGCTATGGAAATTATTTTGAAACCAGAAGTTGATGGGATTCTTCCTTCTATCTTTTCATATCTTCCATATTCAGTATATAATACTATTATAATGAGGAAAACTTTAAAAGAA